CTGCTTTCTACTGTCTCCTTCCACTTGATGATATCATGTGGGTCTTGCTGCTGCCAGTTAATCAGCCCTCTCCTTGTACTTGGAAACTCACAGGATACCTTATTACTTTTATAGTAGGTCACCGTTGTGCATTTGTGGTGGTGATGGCTATTGTTGGAGGATTAGGTAGATTCAAAACAATACCACTTTACTCTTATACAGAAAATATCACATTTTTCATTTCTAGAAGTCCTTCTGTTCTCTGGATTTTCCCTTTCTTACATCTTCTGGTTCTTGGTTTATGGACCCTCCATCAACTCTTAACTCTCTAATAGTGATTTTTAAAAAATCTTTTAGTCTCCCTACATTGTCCTTATTTTCTCTAAGTTCCCTTTCTCTTCTTGTTTCTGCATCTCATTTGCATGTCAGTCTTCCCTCCACTATCTTGAGATTTTTGGCCCTCCAAGCATATATAGAATTTAGGCATTTTTTCAGGAGCTCTGTGTATATATTTGGAACTCCTCAATCAGTGAGCATCTCTGTAATTGCTTGGCAGAGACAGATTTATGTAGTTGAGGGATGCTGCACAGTCAGTATGGGTTTCCCCAGATTGGTGTCCTCCCATATGCCGCTTCGGGTTGGGGAAGTGGGGGATCAAGCTTGGTTGCCAGTGTATTCTTAGTGGAACTGAAGGGGGAGTAGGGAGGAGTCTCATGGTTCAATATACAGACCTTGCTTAACTTCCCTATCCAATAAGGTACTCAAAACATGACCAATGTTTGAGTCCAGATCCTCTATGTTTCAACCTGTCCTGAAAATAAACTTTCTATCTTTTGCCAGGGTGGGGGAGAGGCCATCTCTTGTCTGCCCTGGTGTGAGAAATAAAATTTAATTGTTTAACCTCTCACAGATTGGGGCACCTGGCTGCTCAGTTGGCAGAGCGTGTAACTCTTGATCTCGGGTTTGTGGGTTTGGGCCCCATGTTGGGTGTAGAGATTACTTAAAAATAAAATCTTAAAAAAATAAAAACCAAAAAAAGGTCTTACAAATTTTTAACTAATCACTCTGTTTTCAGTCCACCCATACTCACCTCTTCCTTCAGAGTTACCTGGTACAATTATTGGTTCATTTACCAGTCTTTCGGGATACTGAATTTTTAAAAATTTGTTCCCCAACTCTTGCACACACTTAACTATAAAGTCAGTTCAATTCTTCTTATGCTCTCTAGATTCCAAAACTTTGCTGGCATCTATCCAGTTCTCTTTATCCTTAGAGATTTATGAAGTGTTTTTTTTTTAACCCCTTAATTATTATTTAAGTGGGGTTCAAAAGGATGCAGGCAAATACATGTTTACCTCTGCCATCCTCTTAATAAATTCTTTTTCTGCTTAAACTGAGAATAGTAATATTAACAATAATGCTAGAAATATATCTACAAATAGTGTGTTTTCTAGAGAAGAGTTCTGAATAGGGCTGAACTAAGTCCATCAGATATATAACTCAAGACACCATAATACTTTTTTAAACAATTACTTAGGATTTTTACTTTGTACTCAATAAAATATATTTTAAAAAATCATATCACACTTGTACACACATAAGGAAAGTAAAAGCAGAAATTAAGGTATTTCTAAAACTTCTTGCATTTAGTGTTCTAGTCCTCTGAGTCATATATATAAAATGTGTAATTGTGGTAAAAAACCCACATTACATAAAATTTACCATCTTCACATTTTTTTTAAAGATTTTATTTTCAAGCAATCTCTACACCCAACATGGGGCTTGAACCCACAACCCCAAGAGTTGCATGCTCCACTCACTGAGTCAGCCAGGTGCCCCCATCTTAACCATTTTTAAGGGTACAGTTCAGTAGTTTTAAATATATTCACATTGTTGTGCAACCCATCTCCAGAACTTTGTCATCTCGTAAAACTGAAACTCTGTACCCATTAAACAACTCCCCATTTTCCCCTCCCCTCTACCTCTGGTAACCACCATTCTATTTTCTGTTTCTATGAATTTGACTGGATTAGATCCCTCAAGTAAGTGGAATCATACTGCATTTGTCTTTTTGCGACTGGCTTATTTCACTTAGTATAATGTCTTCAAGGTTCATTCATGCCGTAACATGTGTCAGGACTTCCCCTTTAATGAAGCACATTTTGTGGAGAAAGAAAAATGCAATTCCCTTTAACAAGCAACAGTGGAAATATGATTCACTCTGAAACACTGGATCAGAAATGTTAAGTAAGTGTTAAGCCCAAACCTGAGGATGGAAAAGAAAGAAAAGGCATTTCTCACTTTTGCAAAAATAAATAAAAACAGCTTAGATGCAAGAGAAACAACATGCCAAATATGTATTATCCTTGGGGTTTCATGGCAAATAACCTTATCTAGTGATAATATAGTAAATATAAACAAATAACCGCTCAATTAATGTTGTTAAGTTGACTTGGAGTACCAGCCCTTAGTTTTCCCAAAGGGCTCTTAAATGAATGTGTCTGATCCTAGGAGAAGAGACAAAGCCCAGTTTTTAGCTGCTGTAGTCTGGTTGTTATGTTGTGATCTGCAAATTTCCCAATTCTGTTTCCAGGCTTTGCCTTCACACAGTAAAACCCAGCGCAGGGACAAGGGGAAAATGGAAGGTCTGTGTAAGCCTGAATTGGTACAGGAAGCTGGAGTACTTGTTCAAGTTTGTATATAGAGAGAAATTTCCTGAACACATATTGGGAAAAAAAAAAAAAGATGTTTTTAGAGTGAGCATGGTAACCTACTACTCACCCACTGTAAGTTAAGCAACGTGCAAATGCTTTCTGCTTGACATTGACACGTCTGCCTTCCTTATACTTGGTCCTTTTCTATCTCCCTGGCTTCCTGTCTGTTGTTTCTTACCCTTGCCTTTCTCTTCTTTCTGCCTTCCCCCACCGAACTTCTGTTTGCTCTTCTGTCCCCTGAGTTCTGAGTCCTGCATCCTGGGTTGTGTCTTGCCTCCCCCGCCCCCTCTGGCCCTTCCCATTCTGCCTGCAAGGGCTCTCCTCTGCAGAGGACCTGGAGGGGCCTCCCAAGCTGGGTGGGGTTTCACTTGGCTAAATTACCACATCCTGGAGCACTATCCAGCAGTATTTTCTTAAGACTTGGAAATTGAAGTCAGCGCAGTTAGTGGGGGGAAAAGTGAAACCATTTCGTGGGATGACACTCCAGAGAATGGCTTTGTGTTCATCTCTAAAAGGTGCAGTTGCATGACAATGACCATGGAGGTAAATCTTTGTTGTGCAGGAGGGCAGAGGACCAGCCAAAGGACAAAGGCCCCTGAGGTGAGGGTGGAATCAAGATGGGACAGCCAGTGCTGCTGGTTGTGGCTAGGTTCATTGCCAGTGGTCTTTTTTTCTTTCCCACCTAACCCACTGACCTTGGTCAGCTGTGGGGCTGTAGCGGGAGGCTACTGTCTGGTTCCATTGCTGTCTGTTCCTGGGTAAACCTGGGCCACGCCCTGCTCTAATTTGAAAAGAAAATGCAAAAAGAAAAAGATGCCCAATTGTGACTTCTAAAATAGTACTTCAGGTATTTTGAATATTCCATCTCCCTGGCATGGAGGTGGGCTCTCCAAGGTCATTTTTAGGAGCCCCTATGCAAAGGTTCTTGAGTCATTCTAGAACATAGTATTACAGAAAGACCTATTTTATAGGGAAGAAGCCATGAACAATGTAATTTCAAGAATACCTATTAGACTCTGTCCCAAGGACAGGATCTAAATTTTATTAACAAAAGCTAAAATTCCAGGAGGGAGTGGGGGATGGAGTAACTGGGTGATGGACATTAAGAGGGCACGGGATGTAATGAGCACTGGGTGTTGTATAAGACTGATGAATCATTGAACTCTACCTCTGAAACTAATAATACACTACATGTTAATTAATTGGATTTTAATTTTGTTTAAATGCCAAAAAAAAATCTAAAATTCCATTGATGGTTTTATCCCCAGTTTAAGTATTCAACCCTCCCTTAAAATGTAAGCAAATCCCAGGAGGGACAATAGATTGACCCTTATGAATCTTTAGCCTCAAATCACACCAGACCCATTCCTTACCTCCATCCCCTACATCTTTTGCGCCAGGTAAACCAGAATTCACTGCTGGAGCCAACCCTAGGCTTTTTCCAGCCTTCATTCCTGGAGACTTTTGAGCTTGTTTTTTCTACCTGGGACACTCTTCCCTCTTCTCTTTTTTTAGCTAACTCCCCAGGCTAAAAATCCAGGCTCCAAATTTGTTCTCCAAGGCAGGCATAGTCCATTGGAGCCTTCCCTGACTATCTGGGTCCCTCCTCCCTGGCGGCCCCTACCCTGGGGTGTTCTCTGGCTTACAGGTTAAGCCTCCATCAAAGACAGGAGCTGTGTCTTGCTCCTTGTCGAATCTCCCATCTGGAACAGTATCCGACCCGGAGAAGGCTCTGCTTATGGAGTGAGTGAACGTTTTACTGCCAGTGTGTTTTTTGTGGGGTGGCAGAGGAGGGCTGGAGTGGAAAAGGGAAGATGCCTGGAGAAAAAGCAGCAATACGTGAAGAGAGGAGGCCCGGCTCACCGAAGGCAGACTCTTCTGGGCGACAGTTTTGCAAAGGGCCAGATAGTTGAGAGACATGCTAAAATCCTCCTTTACTGTCGTCCCTTAGAAGGTAACTGTAATTGACTGCTGAAATATCAAATGTATTGACACATTTGATGCATTTGCCGGAGTGGTTTTAAATGACCTGTATCTCACACAATAAAATAGGGCAAAGTTAAAAACCAAGTTTGCTTTAGATTTGTATCTGCCACCATCTGTTGGTTCCCAGATCCTGGCTTACGTCATTCTTATTTTTACATTAAACATTACCAGTAATAAAAACAAAGGAAGGGGGGAAATAAAAACTCATGTAGGGAAATTCTGATTTCACACAGGCTTGACAGTCTTTTTCTTCTCAGTAATCCTAGAAACAGAAAACAACAGGAAGATATCTTACTGGGAAAGGCCCCCTTTAACTTCACCATGAGTCAAACACGGAAGAAAAATTCTTCAGATGGAGAAACTAAACCCCGGACTTCATTTGTCAACAAATTCCTCAGGGGCTCAAAACTTATGTCCTCCAAAGCTGAAAGCAGAAAAGAGAGCAATGACCTTGCAACAACTGATTTCCAACCCAGCAACGACGCACAGAAAACAGCCACTATAGATACGGGTAAACTTCTGACTGCTGTTATTTCTTTACTTTTTTAGAGTAATGTTTTTCCCTACAGAGATCATATGGGTTAAACTAAACCTAATCTGAGTCTCTATTCTAAGCATCTACTGTGTGACTTAAATGCTTTAAATACTTGCCTAATTTGACTTTTAAATTATCAAAAGTAACACTACAGGAAGGTATAGAGAAAATACCTTGTTTCCTTTCATTCTAACACAAATGATCATTTCTTCAAGATTCTTTTCAGTCTTTTGTTCATATGCATGTATTTACGGTCAGTCAGCCAGTCAACACTGACTGAGTACCTACTGTATGTCAGCTACTGTTGTAAGTGTTAGAAATGCAGCCACGAAAAACAGGACCTCATGTACACAAAGAACCGAATGCAGACATAATTTCAGTGTGATAAGTAATAGGAAGAAAAATAAAGCAGGCTAAGGAGACAGAGGATGGATGGGGTCCTACTCTAGGTGGGGTTGCAGGGAAGGAGTCTCTGATTTGGTGGCATTTGAGCAGAGATCTGAATAAAGTAAGCCAAGTAGAATGAATGAATCAAGCCAGTCCCATGGATGTCTATGGCAATGGCTTCCCAGGCAAAGGGAACTGTAAATGCAAAGGCCCAAGGTGGGACTGGGCCTGGCATGCTTGAGAGTGAGCCCAGGGTCAGGGGTGCTGAAGCAAGATGAGAGAGGAGAGAGGACAAGAGCAGTAGAACAGTCACCCACCCCCCAGGGGTTCCTGGGGGTCAGAGCGGGCATCTTTTGTAGTTATAATAGCTTACAAATCCCTCTTGAGCTTACATGGAGCTGATATCCTACTTCTGGAACATATGATTATATTGCTCAGTCCCCACATGGCAGACATACATAAAATGATGTTCGTATGCCTAATTTAACAGCTGCATAATATTCTATCCACGCATATGCCATAATTACTTAAGTTCCTTTTTTGCCCTTCAGTGAATATTTTTATCTTTCCCTCTTGCTTATTCCCAGCTTCATTGTATTTCAGCCTTTTTCTTAGAACAGAGATTAAAAATTCAAGGGTTATGAAAACAAATATTGGCAGGTCTCTCCCTAAAGCTATGTGTCATACACAATGCCGTTAATATAGTATCTATTAGATTAAATGTATTTTTTAAACATCTATATACACAGAAGTAGAGAGAACAGTCTAAGAACTCCCCATGATCACTTCCCTCTAACAATTATCAACCCGTGGCCAATCTTGATTCATTTATACCTACCCTCAATTCTATCAGATTATTTGTATCAAATACCAAAAATAGTATCATTTTATGTGAAAGCAGATTAAGTATCTTTTTAAATCTATTTTGGAAATAGGAAGTTAAAGTCTACTTTTTAAAAAAAGGACAACCTCTATCAGAAAATTGTTGATACTTGTTCTAAAGTAGGAATCGAACCTTCAGGAACATGGTTCATGAATACCTGTAACCATGATGAAATTAACAGTGCAAGGCTAGGCACTGGTTATCCCGGCTGGGCAACACTGGCCCCTCAACCTTGCATGGCTTCTCCATTTCCATAATTCAGTGGCTCCTGGAGTCATGTCAATTCTGCCCCCAAAATGGCTCTCAGACCTGGTTCCTCTTCTCCGTTGCTGTTCTGGCTTTCATTGTTTTTTGACCGGACCACTGGGCCAGCTTCCTAATTGGTTTCTCTACTTCTAGTCTGGCTTTCTTGCCAACTTGTCCTCCACAGTGCCATGGGGTGCTCTTTCTAAATCACAGGCATGATGTCTTTTGCCTGCTTAAAATCTTTCCCTGAGTCTTTCTTGCCTTGAAAAGAAAGTCTACACTCCCAAGCATGGTCTTCAAGGTATTTGTGATCAGATGGATCTCTCTTCATGACCTCTGCCTTCCCCCAACCTCATGTTCATCCTCGACTCCTGAAATTCAGATTCACTTGCAGTTTCCTGAACTGGCCATATTCTTCCAAAAGGGTTCCCTGGGCTTATAAAGACCTTCCCTTGTGTCACCATGCTCCTTCTGCACCCCTCCCCCATTTATTCCTCCTTCCTGTCCACCCACCTGCCTGACTATTGCTCACCCTTAAGGTGCAATTCATGTACCCCTTTCTCTTGAAAGCCTGCCAAGACCTGCCCATGGGACCTGAGGTACTTATTGTCACTACCGTGTGTTCTCATGCACCCTCCACATGCCTCCATCATTGCACGTCTCCTCTGTACTGTAAGCATGGCTTTCGTGTCTGTCTCTTCCATTAGACAGGTAGCTCCTTGAAAACAGGAACTTGTTATCTTGGTTCCCTGTACAGCTCCACCCATGTTACAAACATGTAATCATGTTTTATGAAACCACTGGGATTCTTGGTTGTTTATAACCAAGAAATCAACCCTTAGAGCTTTAGGTTAGAAAAGAACTTAATGTGAAGATACCGCTTAGCTCACAGAATCCCGTGGAGAAGGCAGAAGCTCAGTTCAGCAGTAAAGCAGCCAGGAAAAGGCCCTGAGTCACTCCACAGAACTGCTCACGTGTGATAACTTTGTCCTCTTCATGATGTGCCCATCATCCTACCTCAGCCAATGGGTAGCAACTCTGACTCAACCGTTTTATGTCTTGAGCTGTGATACCAGCTATCCTTTGAAGAAAGGGTTTTATGTATTTTAAAAAATTGAAATATGTGGTCTGTAAGGACATGTCCAGGGATCTCATAAATTGGTACTCATATTTATACTTAGGCGTTTGATAAAGATTTACCATGTTGATTTATTTTGGTCATTAAGGAGCTTTAAAGCTAATATTCCTTCCTTCCTTCCTTCCTTCAATTATCTGTGCATTCAACAAATATTTACAGAATACCTCTCATATAAAAGGCACTGCAGAGTCCCATCTCCCTGGGAGGCCCCAATAAATGAGAAGTGAACCAGGCAGGAATTATAATCTCTACTTTATAGATGAGTAAACCAAGGCTCAAAGAAGTTCAGTGACTTGCTCACCTGAGGGACCCGTGATTTGAACCAGGTCTTCCACTTATGCTGTCTTAGCCTTGCCAGTCCTATCAAACATTACGGAGTGCCCAAGTAGGATGCGGTCTGAGAAGAGATTCCTTGATCTGTCAATTGGTAGGTCACTGCTGGTGACCTTTGAGAATGTGAATGTGGTCACCAGAACATAGAGGGTTAATTGGCAAATGTGGTGAATTGGGACCAGCAAGTACAAACCACCCTTTCCAAACATATGACAGTAATCATTTCCTAATGATAGACAAAACAGTGGCTTGAGAAAACAAAGAAGCTTTTGTGAGGCTGGAACTTGAGCATGATTGTAAGTTGAGCCTATGGAGATAAAAAGTTCAAAAAGAGAAGGGAGAAAGCATCAGATAGCATGCAGAGAGATTTTTTTAACACAAAAATTCAAAAACACACACATATATATAATGGGCTTTGGAGCAGAGTGTTCTGGGTTCAAATTCTGACTCTGCTACTTACTAATTGACAGTCTCTCTGTGTCTCAGGTTCCAAACTTATGAAATAGTGCGATTGTGTCTCCTTGCATGAAGTTTACACAAAATGTCCTGGCACATAAGAGTTAGTCCCTCTGCACCCCCCACCCACCATTCTCTTCTGCTCCACCCAAAATTAGAGTTGCCAGATAAAATACATGCAATATTTGGGATATAGTCTTACTAAGCAATGATTCCTTGTTTACTTGAAGTTTAAATTTAATTGGACAGGCTGTTTTTGTTTTTCCTAAATCTGGCAACCCTACCCAAAATGAAATACGTTTTATTTACCAGTGCATGATACAAGTGGAAGACCAGAATGGGAAGAGGTAAAATGGTGGTTGGTGCTGTCTCCTACTGGCGGAATGTGGCAACACCAGCCATCCCTGCAAAGATGTACACCCTATGGGCGTCTGGGCGTGTTTTCTTAAAAATAGCCAGCCACCAGCCATACCGCGGAGGAGAGGTTGAGTTTGTATTACTCTCCTAATATTTAAGTCTAAGTTGATTACTACTGAAATCCTACTACTAATTTTCACTGGTACCAGTATATTTCTTTTTAGCGATGTGGTTTTATACTTTGGAAGGTATAGTAGAATATCACTGCATATTTGGAACTTAACACTTTCATATTGGATTCCAGTATACGCTTTTTATATGTTTTAAATTGTACATTTTCATCTACAAAACCTCCTTAAAGTCACTGTCAGTACCTGCATATTCGTTTCTCCTTACAAAAGTATGATGTGTTTTATATGTGTCTTAAATGCTGGCACATACTGGGACATAATAGGTGTTCAATAAAAGTAAAGCTTTTCTTATTTTAGTGTTCGCATGTTAGCACAGCGTTAGTACAGAGGAACTTGATGCGGGTGCCATGTAAGTGGTCTCTAATAGCAAGAAGGATAAACGGGGCTTTCTGAGCGTATTCTCTGGCAGGGGTGGAGACAAGCTCTCCCCGGCACTCCCCTCTCTGGATCTGTCAACTGAATGGTCTAGGAGACGAGCAGTGTTTCATTAGCTCCCAGTAGGCAGCTGAAGCTCCCAGCCGGGTGACAACGCTTCCCCTTCTTCACCTGTTTGGTCAAATACCTGTGCTCCCCACCTGGCGTGCACCCGGCTGTGTGTCCCTCAGCAGCGCTCGGCTTAAGCGCTGTGCTAACAAGTTCGCCACTTCATTCAGGAAGACAACACTTTCTACACGCTGAGAACCCTGTCAGGCCGTGAAAGAAGAGCCCCTGAGTGCCTCAGTTTCATTGCTAAGAAGAGGGTCACTGGAGAGATCAGTGTCCAGCACCTGGAGGCAGGACAGCGGTCAAGTTCTGTCTCTGGTAAATGTTTCCCCTTCGGGGTTGAGGCTTCACAAAGGACCTGCTCAGGATTGTTGTTAGTCTGTTGACTTGTCTTACTGCGATCACTGTGCATCTTTAACACGATCTGTCATTCACGCAAGTTCTTCTTTATTCTTATAATATAGCTCAGCCTCTCACTTCAGACGAGGAATGGGGATCCAGGATGGAGAAAAATGAGCAGTTCCTGCAGAAGCTGGGCAGAACGGCTGTGGACAAGTGTCTAGATCTGAATAACTGCAGACTAACGGCAGCGGACGTGAGGGAAGTGGGTCTGTATGCAGTTGACTTCGCACGGAGGGCCACGGGAGCCCTCAGGTTGAGAGGAGCAGGCAAAACACGCTCATTACTCACCTGGCAACCCAAGGTCTCAGGGTGGCCCCAGACAACTCAGGAATAGCAGCTGTACCACTAAAACAAACAAACAAACAAAAAAACAAAAACCAAGTTAATTGATCCTTCTTCAAACTTCAAAGATTTGAGCTGAGTTTAGGAGGAAGGTTCATTTGTCTGTTTGTTCTTCCTGAGCATTTTACCTCCCTACTGATGGCTCCTTACTCCCTGAAAAACATTTGTCTTGCACACAATATGAGATATAAACTCGTGCAACTCATCCATTAAGCTGAGCCCCGCTGGGAATGTAACGGGGTGTTGTGCTCAGTTGTCTGTGGAATGAAAGAGGAACTACCAGCAATGATTGCTTACAACTTGTGTACTCAACAGCGTAATCACCACTTGTCACACGTAAGCGGGCGTCTGGTTGTGAAGACGCCCCTCCCCACACAACTATTACCACCTTTCTTTTCTCTTTTTCTCAGAGACCTTAAGTCGAGTCTTTCATCAAACTAGATGTGTCTACCAGCGCAGAGGTATCAAAAAAACTGAATCGTGAGTGAGGGGTCCTTGACTATTTTAATTAAAATCCATGCCACTCTATTTTGGACAATTCTCTGAAGAGAGAACCCTAACCGTGTCTGTGTTTCCAGATACCTGTGTGTCAGAATCACTAGCAGAGCTCGTGTTCACTGCAGCTCAACCCAAGCCCACCAACTTGGAGTCTCTGAGAGCGGGCCCCAGCAATCTTGTTTTTAATTTTTTTTTTCCTTCTTAATGTGTTCAAAAGACTTTCAGGCTTGATAAAGTTAGGATTTTGGCGAACAAGTTGAAATTGAAGGCTAGTAAAAGACCAAAAAGCAAAAACAATTTCACTCCTAATCATGGGCTCAGAATTTTGGACGCAGCTGTGTCTGTAACTGTAAAAGCTCAGCTTGCTACTTCTGACGGCTGCCCTTAACCTTCAAGACAGAGATTTAAAAGCAAACAAAGATTTTTCATCCACTCTTCGTTGGCATTTCCACTCCTGAGTCTCGTTGCTTCAGGAGATAAAGATGGCCTTAGCAAATCTTTTTTCACAGACAGTAAGGTCACTTAATGGGCGATGGCAGATACTCAGAGAAGGTTCCGGTCAGGCTTTGTGCCTGTCTAAACCTCTACATGTTGGTCTATTTAAATATAATGGGAGCTTTTTAAGGTGATGAGACCCAGGTAATCAAGATATAAAAGAAAGGGTACCAGGTACCCTCAATCTCAGCAATCCTGGCCAACAGAGAGTCCTCCGGCTTTCAGCCCGAGGGTCCAATGGGATGAAGGGGTGAGGAATTATTTTTGCAAAATAAAGGACTAGATACATATCACAGTGGCAGTGGGAGTAACAGAAGAATTGCCTTTTCTGCTACAATAAAGGAGCTCCTATGAAATCCTATGAAGATACCACTCCATTTTTGGAGTGCATTTATTTGGCAGAAATAGAAAATACCCTAGGAAACAGGAAATATAAAGGTCACATTCTCCCCAGTTGCATGGCTGAGGGATCCCTGCTTTGCTGAAAGCCAATACATCCACCCCTCCCTTCTTACAGTGCAATAGGCATTGGATCCTATTTACTACCAGTCGCACATTACATATGCAAATCTGTATATCCTCTTGTTCTTTTCCAGTTGCTTTGCTGCCTTTTCTCCCAGACTTGGAAAAACTGGCTATTTCCTGGAATGATTCTGGAGGTGGAAACCTCCATTCAATCACCCAGCAAATGCATCTCGTCAGCAAGTTAAAAATCCTGAGGCTGGGAAGTTGCAGACTTACCACGGATGATGTTCGAGCCCTGGGTATGATGAATGCTTCACTGGAAGCAGCTCTGAAGTGTCAAGGGCAAACTATCTGGGTCACGCCCCCTCGGGTGCTCATGGATGAGAGCACATGGAAGATGGAATGCCATGCTGAGCACTTGCATAACTTCTGAAAGGCTACACAGCCTGTACCTACTAGCACTGTGGTAAGCCCCAGGATAGAGAAGGGAACAAGGCTGGCCAGATAGATACCTGCTCTCATGGAATTTAAATGGAGATAATTTGTCAAATTTGCTTACTCTCGGTCTGTTACTCGTCTGTAAAATTGAGGAGTTGGGGTAGGTAATGATTATTTTCCAATTCCAAAATAATCTCTTCTATTTTTCCACTCCCATTTTAAAAAATGGATCAAAACAAGATATTTAAATTAAAAGCAATGGTTTAAATAGAACTAGAACCTCAATTAATTTATATACCGAACATAGAATTTAGGATAAAATTTGTCATGCTGGGGCGCCTGGGTGGCTCAGTCGTTAAGTGTCTGCCTTCGGCTCGGGTCATGATCCCAGGGTCCTGGGATCGAGCCCCGCATCGGGCTCCCTGCTC